CTAAAGACGGTTGGATTGCAAAAGGACTTTCTCTGCCTGCGAAAAATATTAAAGATTCTTCTCTGGATTACCATGAAGACACCACCGCTGATTTATTTGAAAATTGGTTTAAAAAAAAACTAGTTCCAAACGTTCCTCCTAATAGCGTCATTATAATGGACAATGCAAGTTATCACAGTAGACAGTTGACTAAAACCCCTTCTTCATGTGACACAAAAGCAACAATTCAAAACTACATGTATAATAACGACATTTATTTTCACGAAGATTATACCAAAAAGCAATTAATTGAGGTTCTACAAAGCTTGAACCTACAAAAGAAATTCGTCTGTGATAATTATGCAAAAAATCTAGGGCATATGGTTTTACCATACCACCTTACCACTGTATATTTAATCCTATTGAACATGTTTGGCACCAACTGAAATCTGCCATTCGTCGTAACAATGGTTTTCCTCGTGTTAACTCTAATGTCCTCAAACTTATAGAAACCGAAGTTTTTAACATCCCTCCACAAAGTTGGGCAAATTCTGTTAAACATATAGGAAAAGGAGAGCAATCTTTTATCCATATTGCAAATAATATAGAACAAATAATTAGAACAAGGGATGGTAGCTATAGTGATACTGATATATTATGTGAATAATTTTAAGTAATTTAAGTAGGTAATAAAAATAATTTGTAATTTTATTTTAGATTTAAACATAAATACATACATACGTAAATAAATAAATATTGTTTAGTATCTTTCCTAACAAAAACCCAAATAATTAAATTATAAGCAAAGTACGGACCTGTTCGGCCATATTTCATTCTTACACCTTGCCCGGGTCTTTCCTTAATTCGTATCAGTTAGTCACTTTCTTATATCTATGAACAGACTTTACCTCCGGTGTCATACTCCGCTGTGATCGGGACTAGTAAATCTCGAGTGCCGTCAAGTATTGCGAAATTGTGCCAGAGTCACACAGCCAGAGCCGCATCAAGGTAGGCCAAGAAAAAAATTTGTCTGCAATGGATACTAAGGGCAGAGACACGTGAAGTATCCTGTCGCAAGTAACCACACCGGCACTGAAGGGCAGCAACATGTGACAGTGCAATAAACAAGTCGGGCCATAATATTCTGAAGGACAGCGGTACGCGACAGAAGCCCCGACTTTCATCAACAGAGTAACAACTTTAGAATAGTTCAAAGAGAGAACACACTAATATTTAACCGAATTCCTTGGGTATATTTTATAAATTAAAAATGAAACCGATCAATAAATCATTTGGTACTATGGTATTTTCGTCAATAAAGCGCAACCATCATTAAATTCAACTACTGTACTCATAAGAACAGTCACCTTTAAGTTTTCGCAATTACTCGAACGCACGGTTAACTGAGAAATGCCGAAAACATAACTTAAAATGTTACTGCGCCCCAAAACAATGTTTATTATAAATGACCCCCTTCTACTAATCGATATTTTGACAGAGCGAGGGGAGAGAAATGCCGTTTTAAGAACACATCTGGCTCTCAAGTGGTTGCTTATTGCATAGTACGTACAAAGTTTTATAGGGTAGCGGGTAGCTTAAAAAATATATGCATCTTACATTAGCTTTCCTGTCTTCATATCCGAATCCATTTATACGTTTTTTGGAACAAAGGCAATCTTTATTTTCAAATACTTTACCACTCATGCTTAGACTCTTTTGTTTCATATTCTTCTTCACTTTTTCTCTTCATTTTCTTATATTTTCCCCGTAATCACGTCAATGTCTTGTCCTTTTTCTTAATTTCATGTTGTTTTCTTCCATTGAACTGATTCATCGGAAGACAATATTAGTCTTATTCGTTGGGAGCATATTTCTTCACCGTACAATGTCTACAATTAAGTATATGTAACGTATTTATACATTAATAGAATTACCTGATCATAAAAAATAATTTAAATAATTAATAATTATTTTGTCTAACTTTGAAAACAAACTGACTACCACCATCAAAATATACAGTAACTGTATTTTGTTTATTAATCAAAAAAATAAACTCAATTTACACCATACACTACACTGACTCAGTCACTCACTACACTCCTCTCACGCTTGGGAAAAATAAAAATTACTATTTTCATGGCTTCGTTCGTTAACGCTCATTAAGAAAATTAATAAAATTGTGATATGTTTATAATTTTTATTTTATAAAGTGTTCAAAATAAATACGAACTAAAAGTTCAGATTTTCACGAAATTATATATTATGACATGACAATTGTTTCGACAACACCGTGTCTTTATCAAATGTCAAAAAAAACAATTGCCATGTCATAATATATAATTTCGTGAAAATCTGAACTTTTAGTTCTTATTTATTTTGTTAAATGGATTTTCATCAAGTAAAAGCCACCTCAGTTCAATTTATAAATTGTTGTTTGGTTTACGGTTTATTAACTCTGTGTCTATTTTTCTTTATTGTTCAATTTTTGCAACCAAATTTTCAACTTGCCCAAAAAAAAAATTGTCAATATAACTTTTTTAAGTTTTGAAGTTGAAGTTGAAGTTCCAAAACATATCTGATAGTATCTTTCCGCATCATGGTATTAGTATTGGTAGTGGTATTAAAGGGGGGCGCCCTCGCGCGCGTCCAAGCCACCAGATGGGCCCGTTATGCCGTCAGGTCGCTTTAGAAGGCGTCCGCATCATGGTACTCGTTGTAGTGATTAACTTGGACATGCGTGAATTATATAATTTTTGGACTTGGGAAAAACAAATGACAAAAAAGAAATATTGATAACATAAAAACATCAAATATAAAATACAAAACAAAGAACACAAACAATAAAAAACTGACAAAATAAAAATTTTAATAGACAAACACGATAAACAGGTATTAGAAAATATTTAGGCTACTAACTGTGTTACATGTTAAAATCAGACCGTAAATATTCTTCCAGATTGTAAAAACAAGGTTAAAGAATACTTTTATTGTACAACATTTTTTTAAATCTTTAAAACATTCTTTTATTTCATTACAAAGACAGTTACGTCTTAAATTCCAAATAGTCTTTCTTACATTTGCTTCATTTAAATTTAGGAATTTCAAAATTGCAATTTCATAAGTGACATTTAGGTAGATTTGAAGATACACTTTTTTGTATAGATTTCTGAGTATAGTACAAGTAGGTACACGGCAGAAGCATAATTCTGTGCACGCAAAAAATAAGTTAAAAGTGATCTTTGTAATCCGCACCAACTAAAACTCGGATAGCTTTTTTTTTACAAAATAAAAGCCTTTTCTGCTGTTGCCACATTCAGTAACTCCATATGATAACCTAAATTGGAAAAACCCAAAATAGTACGTTTTTAATATGTCAAAACTAATAACCGCTTGGAACCGTCTCATCAAATAACGAATGATCTGAGCACAATGAACTTATATGTGTATACCAACTCTAGTAATATAAACAGTTATACCGAGTAACCTCACACTCTTTTCCTCACAGAGCCGATTATCTATTAGAACAATCAAAGTTGGAGTTTCCACTTGGTTTTTTGAGATACTAAACTAGACAAAGCTTGTGTCATCAGATAATAGCAAAGACCTTTTGTCAAGAAAATGACCAGCAAGGGACCCAAAACAGAATCTTGAAAGACCCCAGTGTTCACCGACCTCACCCCAGAGGTAAAATTCTATTTGTTTCTGTGAGTCACCTTTTCATCTCAGAAATATTCAACTGTAACATTTCCACGACATTTGATGTTGTCCCTGTGGTCATATCCACTGTAAGGTTGTTATTCTCTTAGAGATGAACCAATAATTCATCTGGAGTAAGCCAAATGCAATGAAAAGTGTTTTTTTTTTTTAAATACCACGACTAAAAGGTATGGGAAATATTGAAAATGCCTGTTTTTAAGGGCAATAAATTTGCGACTGAAATATGTTTGGTGTCATTCTCTGTTCAACATTGTTTGCTATTTTATCAAAAATGAGTTTTGCTGTTTCTCCACTAGCCTGAATCAGGAACTATCCTCTTAACAGAAGCAACCGGGTCTATTTTTATTTATATTTTATATGAATTACAAAAGGATACCGAAGCGCAAGAAGACGAAAATGAAATTTTCCGCTGCGGTGATTTAAGATTACTAAAGGTTCTTCAATCAGTTTTCACGCTTCTTGAGTTTGTGTGAGTGGGTTGGTTTCGTCTAAGAATAGAATAGAATAGAATTCAACGGAATTACACCTACAGAATGTAGAATATTGAAGCTTTTAAGGCCACGTCGAAGACTTCCTGGCTGAAGAACTTGTTTTGGATTCAACATAAAAATACTATTGAACATTATGATTAAGATTGCACACGCTAAGAAGAAACAAATTGGTTTCTAATCTAAACGCATGAAATGTACTGTAAAGGTTGAAATACCATCCGTCGAAAAAAAAATGAAATGAGCAAATTCTTATCATATCGTAAATGCAAAAAAAGTACGGGTCAAGCTAGTATTTACAAAAACCCTTATTATTAAGTAAAAGTTCCCGCGATACCTAAAGCACGAGGCTTTCCGAACCCATTCATATTCCAGTCATGAAACGCACCTCTTTTAGCGTCAACAAATATTCCGAGTTATTGATCCTTGAAATTTTTAAGTGATTACTCCGTTCTGTGGATAAAATTTTAAGGAAAACTGAAATATTTCCCACCTACTTTTCCCGTTTTTCGTCAACAAGTCAGAGTATTTTTTTTACAATATCCAGGTGTTAATTGATCAGTCGTAAATCATATAATCAACTTATTTTATGAAAGATTGACTCCATATTAAGCCTAAATTAATATGATTTTTGGTTGTATGGTTACAAATAGAATCTAAGTGTCTACGCCAATGATAAATATTTTTTGCAGGACACACTCCTAAAAAGAAAAGTTCAAAATGAAACGTGACTTTTGTGTCTAACAAATAGGTCATGGAAGGATCTAGTCTAGGCGCTAGTCTTTAATTGATACAAACATACGTTTTTGTTTTCAGTTCCGCCAAATATCATTGATAGTTTAAGCACACCATCGAACGTGGCAGTTAGAGAAAATCAAAATCTCAGTTTAACGTGCAAGGCTGAGGGATTCCCGACACCAAAAATCAGCTGGCGAAGGGGCGACAGTCAGGAAATTACCATTGATCGAAAAAAGAAAGGTAAGAAACGAAAGATTCTTTCTGACTAATGATGATAAAAAATATTATAGGTCTATCAAAGAAATAAAAAACAAAATTAAAACAAAGAAATGAATAACAAGAAAGCACATATACCTGCACAAAATAAAACTGTTTTTTATAACTAATTATTACAGTCTATCTCAATCTTCATCTTATTGGATTTCGACGGACCCTCCCCATTAAAACTTTAACGATGTTATTAGCTATTGTTATTGGGTAAAGCCACTAACAAAAAATGTATTATTACTTGAGTGACAAGGTAGGGGTAAGCCAGGTATATTTCTTTCTTTCTGAGTGTGGACCATTTGTGGCAGTTATTTTACGAGAATATAATAACAATGTCCCGTCGAAATCATTTCTCGGTATTAATCAGTAGAGGACTTATTCAACACTAAGCTAGAAAAGAAACCTGTCTACTTACAAAAACGCCAATATCGTCAAAAAGGCATATTATTAATAGTGAAGAATTGAAGAAAAGGAACAAACGTAATGATTTTCAAACTCAACGTATTGACAATAGTGATCAGGACCTAATAATAAGGAAAATATATTAACTTGACTAAATATGATAGAATATGACTATAATATCTGCAATAGAAATTACCAAAGTGTGCATCCACATCGATTCCAGGTGATTTCGGTTATATTAGTTATAGAAGAGGATTTACTTTTATGGTTGCTATTTTCCCTGATTATTTCCCAACTTTCCCTACTTATGTTATCAGCTAACCTTAAATTGTGGTGAGTTTTCTTTGCTTGTTTAAGTTTTTTGTTGTAATAGGATTTAAGTTCTTTGTATTTTTTATTATATAGATCATTTTTTATTCTTTTATTTATTTGATGCATCTCGTGTACCGCACGACTCGATTTTCTTAATTCTCTATTAAACCAATTGATTTTTTTCCAGTACGAGACTTTTCCTTTTTTTTGAAAATGGAAAACTTGACATAAATAGTTGTTTTAGTTTTTCATAAAAAGTGTTAAAATTTTTATCTAAGTCGTCGGATCGAATATCGTAGAGCAAATTATTCCAATCTGTGTATTTTCGCAAAACTTTCTGAATAGGCTTTCTGTGCAAATTTTTATCTGAGTCGTCGGATCGAATATCGTAGAGCAAATTATTACAATCTGTGTATTTTCGCAAAACTTTCTGAATAGGCTTTCTGTGCAATTTTACTCCGGTAAAGTCGACGAAAATATTGTCAATGCATGTTCTAGAATGATAAGTTATTCTAGTGGGCTCTACTAGAGAAGCAACTAAATTATACTCGAGAAGTATATTTTTTAGTATTTTAGATTGTTTGTTGTTTTCAAGCAAGTTGACGTTGATGTCGCCGCACAAGATGTGCTTATTTCTTGGTTCGCTTCTAACATTAGTGAGAGTTTCTCTACAAATGCTTCGAAGTCTCCCTTTGGAGATCGGTATACAACGAAAATTGTGATACATTCCCTGTTACGCTCTAATTTTATTGAACAAATTTCAAAAATTTTTTATTCAGAGTTTTTAAATGGAACTTTTGAAAAATTAAACTTTCTCGACCCAAGACACAGACTCCCCCTCCCATGTAACTAGTTCTCGAGAAATAACTAAGAAACATAATCTAAAAGTTTAACAAAATTGCAAAAGTACATCTCAAGTACATCATCCAACTTGAATGATTAAACTCGGTAATTTCGATGTGCACGGTGACCTCTTCCAACTATTGCAAAGCTATATTACAGAAAGAACTCAGCTTTTTGTTGCCAATGGTAAAAATTTCGTTGTGCAAATGTTATCTCGGGTGTCCCCCAAGGACCTCATCTGGGTCCTTTACCCTTTCATATTTTTCTTTTCGATGTTTTCCTTTGTTTCTTCTCGGTTTCTGTTTATACTTCTTTTGCCTATGATTTGAAAGCAAAAAAGAGATTCGTTCACATTTAAATGTATTAGAGATTCAGAGCGGTCTTGGCAAATTTGCTGATTATTGCAGAAACCACAGATTTTTCTTAAATCTTGCAAAATGTCGATATATATTATTTACAAGGAAAAATGATTATGTTGATGATTATGTTAATGCTTGATAATAAACAACTGAAAAAGTTAAGCAGGTAAAAGACTTGGAAATTGTTCTTGACTCCCAATTAAACTTTGAGGCTTATACTGAAACTATTGTCGAAATATGTTTGAGAAATCTAGGCTTCATTTTGAGAACTACCAAAGAATTCAACAAGCATCAGCTAGTAATAATCGATAACATCTCTGCTAGAGTATTCATCCACAGTTTGGAATTATATTTATAGTAAATATATCATACATACAAATATATCATAAGAGTACAAAGCATACAAAAAAACTTTTTAACAACTTAAACTTTAGATACAACAGAGATCGACACATTTGCTCATACCAAGAAAACTTACAATTTTACAATTTGAAGTCGCTTGAAACTCCAAGAATCACTTTTCAAGTTGTTTTTCTTAGAAAGTTATAAATAACCTTGTGGATTCCTCTTTTGTATAAATTAATTGAGCTTTAACGCTAATCCATATCAGGTGCGCCCGTGACTGACGTTTTCTATGGAGCCATATGAAAGTTTATTTTAATTATTTTTAGTTTCATTATATTTCGTGATTTTACTGCATTCTGTACTACATAAGTTTGACTTAACAATAATGGTTATATTTTACAATAGTCTAAAAACAAAAAGTATTCTAGTTTTGACGTTTGTCAATTCTGACGGTCATGTCAGTGAATGTATTCACGTAGTTTTGCGAAAATGTACCCATAAACAAACGGTCGTAGGAAAAGTATAGTATGCATGTTCGAAAAACTTTTTGACTCACTCATTTATTAAACAGTCGCTCCGCTGCGCACCGCTCGTGTCAAATAAACTCTTGAGTCAAATGGCGTTTACCACACTTCTTACATAATATACCATTTCCCATAATCAGGTGACCCGGCAAATAGTATTTATGATGGTCACAGCCTCCTAGACATAACAAACATAACAAAAAATAACAAAAAAAAGAGAAAAACCGTCCTATCCAACATAGAATAATCCTCTGAATTCAAAAATGCACTCGAATAATATTATGCCTAGTTAGAAATGAGTTTTGGATTCACGCAATTCCCATTCATGTTTTTGCAGATCCATTGGAATATTGCTTTAAACAAAATTTCAAAACAAATATAACCAGTAAAAAAAGATTTTTGCCAGCGTTCGCTTCGCCGGAATAAAACCAACACGCAATTTTTAATTATCCCCCAAGGCCCAAGCACAACGGATTTCGGACCACCTATGCGATATAAAACCAGCAACATTTTCATTTATGACACACGATTCAGTGTGAAACTAGCAATATAAGATGAAAGGAAAGCAGATTGTTATTTTCTGTACACCAAAGTTGCACTAATGTCTAAACGGTTGGCAGTGATTTTTTTTTAATTTTGAATTTGACGGTATTGGGCAGTTCCAAATGAGTAAAGTTCATTATCTCGTTAGCTTTAAACAATGACAAAATGGTAAAAGCAAAAGTTGTAAACCTTGTTAGGGTCAAAAAAAGCACGAAGACTGAAAATATATGTTTTTAAATGTCACACCAATTTTTTTTTTTCATTCTTCAATTTTTTTTTTAATAATGATATATACCCAAACCTAATCGTTTCTCCAATGTATTTTTTTCTAAAAAAGTAATAGTTTCACACTTAAATATGATATATATGTTGTATCGTCCCGATAAGGGATTTATGAATTATGCAAACTCCTTTTTTAGTTAGAAAATCCGCGGTCGAAGTGACCAAAAATTATATGTACGAAAATCTAAGTGGACTGTATTTATACTGGTTGCTATTTTTTTGATTTTCCCTTTAACAAAGTTTCGAGAGCGACGATATGATGACGACTCCGCGATGTATAGTAATTTAAAAAAGGAGTTTGCATAATTCATAAATCCCTTATCGGGACGATATATATGTTTTTTTCTGAAAAATCCTACATAAACCTGCAACTTTTATTAAGTATGTCGTATAACTTTTTTTTGAATTCTTTGCGATTTATTTTCACTTCTCCATTGTTTACTCTCCTTTCTGTCTAAGACTATTGACATGACCATGACAAAATGACGGCAAATTTTTACCTGACAAATGTGGGTCCGCATTTATATACTGATTATATACGGGGTGAGGTGGGAAAAATATTTTGTTTGCAGTAAAACTTTACCCTAATAGAGTATATCAACTAGACAATCTCTTTTGTGTTTAATGGAACGGGATCTACCTTTAATCGCATCACTAGAAAACATCAAATATCATACACTCCATATCGAACGACACCAAGAACTTCTAGACCGACATTTTAGACAAAGGTTAAACTTCTACTCCGTTATAAATGAAGCAATAGAGGATGGTCCAAATTTTTTATCTAAATTAATGTTACTTTTTACAAAACTTTTGGATTCCTTCTGCACCTGTTTTTGCTGAGTCGAACTACCTAACGTTTCGCCAATTATCCTGTTGGCTTCTTCGGAGCTTGACTGAAACTGGCCCGCATGTTACGCTGTACCTGTTTGAGGGGAGCTAAATGAGGGACATAAACAGTGCTCGGATGACTTCCTTAATTTTTAATGCTAAATATGACATAAAATTAGACAAGTTTTTTAATGTTTTTTTTTCATTTTCCTTTTTATTTTATTTTTCGCATACCGTGTGTCAATATTTACCGAAATTTCTTATAAAATCCGTTATTCGAGTCCTTTGTCTACAACAAAACTTACTCAAGTGAAACAACAAATCACACAAAGGAAATTGTCAAATATTTTACGTGTTGCAAACGTCATTTTTCGCAAAAAAAATTAACAATGTCAAAAGCGATTAGACTTAGGTATAAGACGTTATACACAAAATTTGTCTAAAATTTTGTACAGAATTCAAAAATTAAGTAATATATCAGGCGGTTCATTTAAAATAAGAGATTTGAGACTTGCCCATTATACAAAATAAAAATAAATTAAAGGTTTGTAATACATCAATTAGCTTTTGTGTTTTGCATAAGATAAACGGTCAACCCTATACACAGGATTCCCTGATAAGGACACCGAGAATGATAAAGCATCGAGATTTGGGATACAATTCCTTATAATGCATAAAATTTTCAGAATATATGCTTGGAAATGAACAAAAAATGCAAAAATTGAACTGAGGTGGCTTTTACTTGATGAAAATCCATTTTATCAAAATAAATAAGAACTAAAAGTCGAAACAATTGTCATGTGAAAACATATAATTTCGTGAAAATCTGAACTTTTAGTTCTTAGTTATTTTGAAAAAAAAATGCAAATATGAATTTTTATCATATGAAAATTCTGAAATGAATCGATCGTTACGTTAAAGCCATTAGACAGAACTCAAAATGAATAATTAATGATGGCGAAGAGTGACCCGAAAGAAATCACCTTGACAGGCGCCGCGTCGCAGTTTCAAGGAAACTTCGTTACCCACCCATCTTTAAATACAATTCGCCGCATATCAAACGGTGCAAAGCCGATTTACAAAAAGCTTAGTGCACGACACAAATTTACTGGAGTACGAATTACGTAAGCTTGTTATTTATAATCTGCGACGGGATTAAAGTAGGGAACGTTTAAGGCGGCGCTAAGTGTCCGCGGAATTTTAAAATGTTTAGTCGCCAAAAAAAAAAACCTTACCGCCTGTCCCAATATCAAAAGAAATATTGCTCCGTTAAAAAAAGTACGTCACAAACTTTAGCCTCTGGATAATTAATGTGGGATTTTTTTCTCGAAAATTTTTAATGATCCCAGACACTCTGTAGATGAAAATGTCTTTGAAAGTTTCCAAAAGTAAACTTTACTGTGTCGCTCGGGACACTGGTTAAGGATTTATAACAAATAACCGTCGGAGGTTCATTAAAAATAAAAAAATATTCTTTTCTAACGCCCCCTTTTCCTTCTCGTGTAACAAAAGGGTGAAGATATATTGCCATTTTGAGTTTAGTAAACTGCGAAAAGGCGTTATTCATTTTGCACTTGATTTTGGGCACTTGTAACTAATCGTCTTGAATACACAACCGTAGCCGAAATTGTCTCACTCGAAATAGAAGCTTTCCTATAAAAACTTTCACCATTTTTTCAACTTAAAAATATAGGCGCCGTATTGTTAGTCCACACAAGATAAATGGTCATTACTGTAATAATGCTATTTGCTTTTTTTTAAATAAACATCCACAGGCAATTGTAAAACTATCTAGAAATCTTCAGGAAAGTGATTTGGACGGATGAGGCAACGATTTCTAGTGATGGAATATTCAACAGGTCCCCAGGTCTCCAGACCTGGCTCTTTGCAACTTCTTTTTGCGGTAGAGAACCAAAGATTTTGCATTTCGAAATCGCCCAACTAATAGAAGGGACGGGAAGAGGCACTTCGTACTGCAATCCGGTAGCTTCAAACTGTTTGATAAAAATAGTCGTATGGCACATCGTTGGCCAGGAAATTTTATTAGAAAACTGATTTTTTAGAAAAACGGGTAAAATAGAGAGATTCTCGCTTAAAACAATCTTAAAAGATGTTTTTTCCCAAAACTCTATTCTTACAGTTAAAAAATTTATAGAGAGCCTGTAAAATCGCACATTTTTGAGGATCACCCTGTAGCTCAAAACCGCCTTGATATATCACGATGCGGTTTTCAGTTTTTGACTTCTCTCGAAAATCGAGCCCGTAACATGTATATTAGTTTTGGGCTAACTATGCCTCAAATGCTGAAAGCCATAGAGGCCCCTCGAGTTTGAACCACCCGGTACCTGCTTATATATTGATGAATTGGTAGAATTTTAGTTTTATCGAATAAAATGTGATGTGATGTGATTGTGTTCGGCAACTGCTGACGAGTTTTGTCGTAGTCTTAAGGCTCTCTTATGTTCTTTGAGCCAAGTTGATATTTTTCGTCCGGTCCCCCAATGCATTCTTCACGCATCTATGCATGGAATGTTGTAAACTCCTAGTACCTCAAACGGAATTTTGTCTTTGACAGATGGTAAATGAGAGGATTCGCGATGACTGGTGATGAAAAGCTTTGGTTCCAGATTCTCGGATTGTAATGTATATGAAATAATGTTTCGAGTTTCAGGAATAGGGACTTTAGTAAAGAGGTTCAATGTCGAAACTAACCAGAACATCCTGTGGATTTAATGTAATGATTTTTAATTGTAATCCTGGTTTATGAATATTATGGAGTCGGCAGCGACGAAGAATTTTAGGGTCAGGAGGGGGGACAGACTTTTTCACGGATTTTGATAGAGTAGAAACCTTAATAACAGATACGTTCCATACATGATGTAGGATCTTTTTTAAGTTGACTGTAGGAATAGAATATCGGCTTTATCTGCTTTTAGAATTGCGATGTCTGGATTAGATTTTATAGCAATGTGTTTATTCTTTGGATTTAGGAGGTGTGGATTTTTTAAGGATTTTTGCTGTTTCAAATCGAATTTCATTAGCTGTTTGAGATAACAGTTTGTTTAGGACAGATTCGACCTTTAAAATGATTTTCTTTCGAAGTTGGAACCTTTTGCAAGAACTGATTTTTCAATCTCAGATGGTTTCACTAGTGTTGATCTTAGTTTTTCAAATTTTTCAATGTGAATCTGGGTAGAAGATAAATGAAGATTTTCAGCTTTGTCATGAGTCATGTTTGATAGGACATCGAACTCGGATGAGGACAAGATGCAAGCAATTTTAAGGTGTAGAAACAGAAAAGTCTGATTGACCTTTTCTCCTCCTTTACGAGTATGAAGAATTCTTTCTCGAAGTGAAGCAATATCATGTTAGGAAGAATTTTACAAGCAAATGAGGTTTTCACATAGTGGCATATTTTAAGAAAATTGGGGAAAACGTTGTGGTCTCTACAACATACCAAAAAAGGCAATATACAGAGTAACGTTTTTTGATGTTTGCTACATTTCCGATGGCATTGCGACGTTTGTCAAATATACCTAAAACTGTAGATAAACTTTTCCATTTCTTCATACAAAAACGTTATTTCAATTTCTCAAAAGTTAATTTTTGTTACAAACATTCGTTATAATGAAATACGATTTTTAAAAAGGCAACGGACTCATCAGAAAAGATCGAAAAAGGATGTACTTTCATCTGTTTCGAGAGCAATTAGAGTAAACCTTGATGCGTTTGTCTAGGAATGTCTTGTTAAAAACAAAATTCTGTACTATGTAAAACTCTCACAATATCAAACTAGACAATGCAGCAAATGTACCAATAAGTTGTCCAAAAATGTTTGATTATTTGCAATTCCATTCAATTATCATAAGACATGAGAGTTTGTTTATTATAGCTTAACCGTTTGCAGTATTTAATAAATATAGAATTGCAACATGCATAATCGACCATATAAAAAAATCGAATTCTTCATTACTTTATTAATTTGTACAGTAGACCTTCTGAGACTATAAAAAATAGCTGTCAAGATTTCATATGACTTTTATTCAAATCCTTGACCTTATAATTTTGAAATATTCATTCCATATACTGGGTGGTCTATAACGAAGTCGCCAAAAAGAGATTGGATTGTGCCTTTGCAAAATATACTTCATTTATAGTGCAAGCAGTTTTGGTTTTGCTACATTCTATTTTTCACGTAATAAGTACAGGGTATACTAAAATCTCCGTATTTTATGTTATAAATTTATTGTTAGTTTCTTTTTGTTTTTTTTTTGTTAAACTATAATGGAGAGATAGTTTGACGTTTTCCAATAGCATTTCTACTATTCCGTGAAGTGTGCAATAAATAAATTCAGTTTAGACCACACTGTACGATAATGATGTTATAATAATGTGATCATTAGCTAAGACTAAGATCAGAGGATCAGAGAATATTAAATCCTTTTCATGTCTCACGTCAATGGCGTACGCGTTATAACTAAATACTCAACTTCTTTTTCTAATTTATAATTTTTCGTTTTCAAGTTTTTGCACACAAAAAATATTTCCGAAAAAAACCTTACCATTGTAATTTTAGTGGTAGATTAAGAGATTCACTAATAGTAGCACCCTCCCTAATATTGTTCCTAACGTTTTGCAATCTTGCCATCGTAGGCTTGAGCAAAATGGATATTAGAATCGATGATTCGGGTAATATTTAGTTCCAGAAGAATTAACGACACATGAGATGAAGTTCCGTTCGCGTTTTGTAGAAAATATCTTCTTTCTTTGCAGTGACAGTTTACGAAGGAGAACAGCTGAATCTGACCCGCATAAGCCGCACGGAGATGGGCATATATCTCTGCATCGCCACAAACGGGGTCCCTCCATCTGTCAGTAAACGAATTGTCGTTGACGTTGAATGTAAGTAATAAATTATGGCATCTACTTCAGAAATATCTTGAATTATCTCTTTCATTTTTTTTTCTCACGACGGGCAAATATGAACACGGCTTTATTCGAAAGGTTTTGTTTGCGTTTATATATTTGCGCGTATTTGTGTTTTTCGTGGCACAAAATGAAGGGGTTTTCGCTAACTTTGATAATGAAAATATTACCCCGCCATTGTACCCGTCTCATTTTATCGTTTTTTTTTTATATTTTTCAATAAAAAACTACGCGGTTTGGAGAATGAATTAGAACTTGTTTATTATTTCATTCGTATATTTTCACCACTTGGAAAAGTCTAAGAAAAGTAACAATTGACTTCTATTTCGAATATACAGGGCGGATCAAAGTTAAATGGTGAAACACATAGGGTAGCCTATTCATAATAAATATAATAACTAGATTTTCGATGGCGTAAAACTTTTAACAAAAAATCGTTTGCATTCAATTACTACTACACTGGCCAGCAAAAATTGAGGTCACTCAATAAATTACAAATTTTTGGGATATCAAGTTATCAGTTAGAGGAAAATTATCTATCGCATTGTATTTGGTTACGTGAATTTAACATTTAATCACAAAATGTTATATTGTTTTTCATGATTATTGTTTGCAAGTAAAGAAACAACTAACAACCTGAAAATTAATAAAATGTATTCCCTTCGAAGCATGCTTTTAATTAAATTATGCTTTAAGTTCTGGTCGATGATATTTTATTCCTGTATTAGCAGCTCTCTTGGCTCTTGGGTACTTCTTGGAGCTGACTTATCTCATGTTCGATGGGATTCATGTCGGGACTGAGTGCTGGCCAATCAAGCCGTCTCCTCATGCAGATATATAAGATGGCATAAAAATGCCATCTTTGCCCATAGTGATCATTAAACGCATCGCATGATTATCCAGGATTTCCGTAATGCACCTGTGAGCTGTCTATAAAAACCAACTCCGTGCGTGCTTCAGAACTAATTTCCGCTCAAACCATAACCGAACCACCACCATGTGGAAGTCTTTCATCAATACAACCTGGGGCGTATCTTTCTCCAGGTCTCCTTCATACTCTCCGACGACGTCCATCTGATGCAGTGAGGCAAAAATGGGATTCATCGAAAAACATTCATAATCATGCCGGTCTAAGTGATTTTGGGCAAAAGCTCATCTTGCTATCCGATGCCACCGTTGCAATGGCAGTCCTGTATCCATCCTTCGACAAGACAATCACAAAGCACAAAGCCTTCTTGTAACAGTCCATTCGCTAAAATTAATATTTCTAACCTGTCGAAGTCGATTTTGAAGCCAAACAGCAGAAGTTGTCCTATTCCTCCTAAACTTTAGGACACCAAAAAAAAAAACAAAACTAACCAAAAACCGATCATCCCTTTGGTTGGAGATCATTTTTCGACCGGATTCTGATCTTCAAGTGATCAAGCCAGTCTCCTCGTAGCTGCAAAATAGGTACTTTACAGCGACATAGACATTTTCATTGGTTTCATTTCATATTTCACAGAGAGTTTACGTGCAAACCACACTTCAGTATAAACGTAACCCAAAATTTTTTAGCATAGATCTCATTTGGCTTTTAATTTATGTGTAGGGCGTAACAAAGTTTTCTTACCCATTTTCTGATTTTCTGAAAATTTAAAAATGCGAGTTCAAAGGTAAAAGTAGATTTAAGAATAAAATTTAGGGTATTAAGATTTTTTTAAAATATTTTTATTCATATTGTCTTATCAGATTTAAAAATATTTTTTGGTAGTTTTTAATAAAACAAGAAGGAAAACAGTGAAATAAAAGTTACTTTTATTTCATATATACAGGGTGAAATAATTTTGTATTTCCTATTTATACTCATTACATGTTTTTTGTTCATCCGGAGTGTCAGAAACCGTATTTTGCAGATATTTGTCCTAAAAGTTCGGATTCTTTTAACATTGCGATAGATCAAATAAAACAAGCAGAAAATTTATGATGTCCGTATTGATATTAATTTTTGATGTCCTCTTGGATGGAAAAGTTTTAAGTTTTTGTAACTCTTATGACTGGCCTCTAACATGTCTTCAGATAATTGCCCAGTAGGCATTGGAAATGACTGGATAATATCATATCCATGGAGCAACAGCTTATGTATTGTAGCACTCATTTTGTATCACCCACATTTGAGCGGTCTGAAGACACTATATCTTAAAATTAAAATGGGCTGTGTTCCCATCGTTACTGTTGTCTCCCCCTGTTTTCGTTGGTTTACAACCGTTCCAATTGATTTTGTTCAATTTTTTACATTTTCTTTGCCTCTTGGCTTCTTGGCTACCATTTGTGGTTGTCCAGCAGGTATCAGTAGTATCTAAGATATGCATATACGTATTATATATACGCTGCCGCTGTACTTATTATTTTCAATATTATCATTAAAGTCTTTGGGGATGGCCTTTCATACGTCGAACGCTTGAGATGAGGCCGTGTCGGTAAGCACTTTACATGTTTTTCTATCCATCATGGTGAAAACCAAAACGTGTATAAAGATCTGTTCTTTGTAAACTATGATAATATTTGTGGTTTCAGGTTCTCGTCTGTTTCTTGTTTTAATTTAAAACTTATAACACTAACCTAAACTTGTTTTTTATCTTTGGATTGAATTTATATTTCTAGAGGTACAATTCTACATTGCGATTGAATATGTGCTAGCGGACCTATAGGTATAGTAGCCTGTGCCTCCGTAATAAACATGGTGAATAATTTTTTTTTCACTTCCGCAATAGGCCTGATATATCTTTGCTGGGATCTCCTGCATTTTCACAAGATTGGTAGTACCTGTGTCGATGTTGTTGGAGTACAGGCAGTGTGTTGATACGAAAAGGTTGAATTTGATATTAACACTTTAGACACAAACACATATTTTAGCCGCTTTTCTGTTATTTTTGGAAGTTTATCTGTACTTAATCTGTCATATATAACTGACCAAATGTTTATTCCACCGCAACGATGATTGTTTATAAAAATTAACACCCTTTAAGACTATAAATAGTTTTTTGGGATAGCAAAACTTTATTTCATTTCTTATCCAAAAATAACAATAACCCATACTAGAAAAAAAGGTGGTACTAAGCGAAACTTTTTTTAAATTTTAACTTAAAATGACGTTTTTACAAAATAAAAAAAAAGTGTTTGAAATTTTCTTTGAAAACTAGTCTAGCAATAAAAAAAATTAATCACGCGAACTACTTAGTGGTACATACCTGTAGCTTTAAGATAAATCTAAGAAAACTGCATAAAATACTTTAAAGTCGATATAAAAACGAACTGTAATTGTGAAATATATCGACTCAACTAAGTTAGCATGACAGTTGGGCGAGACATGTCTGCTTGCAAAGAGAACTGCGATTTTATTAAACACCTGTAAAATTTTACTGGCTGTATCGTTTAGTGCGTAGTTTGGATAAAAAAGTTGGTTTGGCGCTCTAAAGAACCCATTTTGCCGTATGTGCGTTGGTATACTTGGTGCTACAGCACATAGACTCCTACCAACAATTCCTGCAATTTCCTGTTTTCTTCGACCATCTTGTATTAATGCTACAATTCTAACCACAACAATAGGAACCCAACGCATTATGACCAGTTAAATGCACCTTAGGTTTAAAATACACCAAACAATGATAAATTTTATGAAGATAAATGAACTTAGGCCGAACTTAGTTATTTCATAAAAAGTCGAAACTACGCTGACAATATCTGAGAGACTGAACATTTGTTAAAATAACTTGGGATCCTTGATTTTGTTTTTTTTTTATTTCTTCCGATGAGAGGGGTTCTGGTACCTTCAGTAACGAAAGATCTTAGTGGGGTGCCCTTACCGTCGTTACTAGGATGACAGCGCAGTTAGTAGGAGGATTATTAAAAAAATAAAATTATAGTACAGAAAATCCCAAAATAGGAATAAAAATTTTACGCAATACGTTTTGCTCATAGAAAAAGCTGTTAAAACGTCTACATATTGCGAAAAACTACAATATTATATTATATTATGCACAATACTTTAGCCACGAGTTTCTTTTTATTAAAAAATCCAACTTCTCTGTTTTCTCTAAATACTTCTAAAACCAAGAAAGCCGGACATCTTTATGTGATCAGCAACATTTTGTTTTATTTTGTATTTCAAAAATTTTGGTATTTTCAGATCTTGACCGGAGGACAGGGGACGGTGAATTTTGGGTATTGCTTCTACTAATATAAATCGCAAAACCGGCGCACACTGCAATTCAAATATTTAGGTATTAAAAACAAAGCAAGTCACGAAAAATTCTGGGCCCCATTTTTCATTATATCGAAAATTAGGAGAATTATGTGATTACTTCGCAGTAATTGAGACACAGTTTTTTGTTTGGGCATTTCTCCTTAACAACATTGCTGCATAACGTGGACCTACAAAATAAGAACCGCTTCATTATAAATATGGATTCTTTCTCGTTGCTGTCGTCATAAATCATTTTCTACGGCATATGGGATCGCGCAGCGAGAGAGAACTAAAGCATTAAAGTGGCTGCCTATGTCGCAATATGCAGATATTATTCATCGTAATATGACATTTTAATAACTTTAATTTTTAATTTAAAGTTGCATCCACGTCCTTTTCGGCAGTGGGTCATGCAAAATTGCCATCAAAATAATAACACTAACTCAGGTATAATTTGGCAGTAGAAATTCGCTATTTTAAGAGTGAATTAAAATTGAAATTAAATGTATATTGTTGGTTTACTGAAATTGTGAAAATGTGAGAATTGGGAGTATTTTTTTATTTTTTATATATTGACGAAAACCTCAACTGGAAAACAGACTACTAAACTTTTAAGGAACGAATTTGGCAGTCGTAAACTTTTTAGCTGCTTCAGAAAATGTGGAAAAATTTTGAGGTTTCTTCATGTCATCGAATATTTAAACAGCCTTTACAGAAAGAAGGAGATTGGATTATTTATATACAGGGTATT